ACTTCTTGCCCTTCCACAGTCCGCTCACCATCCTGGTGGCTTGGTTTTCGGAATTAACACAAAGCTAGCCGCGCACGTACATGGCTATAACTTGAAGGTGATTCCCTAGGTCCTTCTGCCCGCTCTCGTGCTCAGGTTGAATATAATTTATCCCTGCGCACTTTAACACTAACACTGACTCGGTGGCGGATGGCCCGCATCTGCTCTTCATCTGCGGGTGAAATTATTACGCAGCAGTCGCCTGTTCGATTCGGGCCCGAGTCATGATTATGGGGAATGAGGATTTTTTTTCTTTCCCACACTGTCCGCCCCTTATCGTGAACACAAAGCCAGCCATTAATGTGGAAGATTGCATGGACCACGGGATAATCAACTCGAAATTCTGCCTCTCTAAATTACCTTGTCCTCGATATCACGCTCCATGTCAATCTCATTTATTCGCTGCACATTCATCCTCAACACCGACTCGGTGGCGGATCACCCGCATCTGCTATACCTTATGAATTCTTTCGCATACACTGCAGAAGACACCTGTTCGATTCAAGTCCGAGTCATTCCCGTGTTCCGATTTTTTTATTATTTCTGCGCTTCCACAGTCCGTTGTTCAACAATCCTCGTGCGCTGATTTTTCTTTCTCGAGTTAATAAAGCTATCTACGAAATGTGCAAGATTGCATGAATCGAGGGGATAGTCAACCCGAACTTGTTCCTTTTGACGTCTTTATACTCGCTGTTGAGCTCGGGTTGAATCTAATGTATTCAATGCAGAGTCACCCTTAACACCGACTCGGTGGCGGATGGCCCGCCCGCACCTGCTACGTCTATCAAAGCATCCAGTGGTGTACTGCAGAAGACGCCTGTTCGATTCAGGCCCGAGTCATTACTGAGCGGGTCGTCTTTTTACGCATTGATCCGTTCAACATTAATATTGCACCCCTCAACTCCTCGAATTCCTCCTCCCTACAGTAGTCAGTCGTAACTTAGCTTAATCGTACGAATTCCTTCTCGACTTGGTCCTGTGCGATCTCTGCATCTCATAGACTATGATACGAAATGTCCGCAGATCACGCCCTACGAATCAAGAACGGGTGTCAACTTTCGCGCCAAGCAGTATCTGTTTGAATTCCGACTTGAGTACTGGTACTTACATTCCGATGTATTTGCTCGAATGATTGTCACCAAACCCACACACCGAACCGACAAGAATCTCCGCGATCCAGCGCATGGATCGGGGACCCTGCCATCTGCACCAGGCGTGGGTGGAACCTCTCCGCCCGACATTTTAGCTACACCAAACTGTGATGTTATTCACGTTCGACAAGCACTAAACGGCTGCGTCTGCGGCGGGGGCAGCGGGGGCCGGGGCGACAGGCCCCCGGGGGGCGCGCGGCCGGGTGGGACATTGGGCCATGCTGTGGCCCTGGAGAGCGGGTCAGCGGTTACTTATGACGACGAGAATGAGTTAGGAACGCACCGGTTGCTTGCACCCGTAGCACGTCTGCGGCTTGGTGCAGTGCTTGATCGCGTGCCCATTTTCTCCGCAGCGGAAACTATATAGTTCATATTCGAAAGGAAACGATGAGGAACACGGTAGGTGTGAAGAAAGGGTTTGAGGACGCACCACCGGATGGGCGCGGTCTTGAGCGCCTCAAGGCGCGCGGGGTCGGGGGAGGGGCAGTCGCGGCGCTGCGCGTAATCTTTTTAGAGGTTACAGACGTATGAGAGCGCACCTGGTGCCCCTCGACACCACAGGCGACGCAGATCGTCGGCTCCCTGCACTGTTTGCGCAAGTGCCCTTCACGGCGGCCTGCATCGGAGTGACCTGGTCAGTACGAGGACGTCGTCTCGTCAAAGGACGTACAGTTCAGGCTGAAATGAGGGGATCAGCGGACGGAAGAAAGCCTGATAGTCGAGAAAGACAACAAACCAGGTAGCGGCAAACGTGGAGCGGGTGGAGGAGATGGCGCGGAGGGGGACGAGCAGAGAGGCGGAGAGCCTTCCCGGGGCGCGGGGGGAGAGCCGCAGGACGGGCAGAGCGCGGAGGCGGAACAGCGAGAGCATCGTGGTGGTCCGACTGAAAAAAGAGCGTCACGTCACAGTCACGACCGAACACGATCATGTGTGCATGTCATTTTCGCGTCGCTTCGCGTCGGGCTGAAGGTAAACAACCCTGGCTCATTAAAACTAGTCCTGACACGCTCGGAGCATCATAATCTAGCAGATACACCATAAGATTGTACATCAGCCGAGTCCGAGGAGGCCGTCAGCTCGAAACTGATCTTTCATAGACCGGTAACCAATCTGTCTACGGGAAAAGTGTCGGTAGACAGACTGGTCGATCTGGACTTAAATTCACATGAAGCGCGCTGGCACCGCCACAACGCGTCATCGGCGCGTGGAAAGTCACGTTTGATGCCCCGGACTTTGCCGGCGCCCGCCAAAATCGATGCCAGGTGGAAGAATTGTGGTCTATTAAACTCTATCACACAGCAGGATGGCCCATGCATTGTCTGCAAGTTCCAATTTTTTTTGGACCTTTTTATCGAATATTTAAGTACCAGCCGGCAATGTCCGGGGCATCAAACGTGACTTTCCACGCGCCGATGACGCATTGTGGCGGTGCCAGCGCGCTTCATGTGAATTCAAGACCAGATCGACCGGTCTGTCTACCGACACTTGTGTCTCGTAGACAGATTGGTTACCGGTCTACGTAAATATACGTGAGCCTACGTGTCCCTGAGCCTCTCAATATATAAGAGGCGCAAGAAGGAGAAAGGGATTAGCCAAGCTCAATATTACTTAAGGGTCACACGCCAAAGTTCAAGCAGCGTTCACAGCCGTCTTGCTCTCCGCCCTTCCACGTCCTCCCTCCAACTCGTTATGGGTCTCTCCGTTTCTCGTTTGCTCTCGGGCCTCTTTGGCAAAAGGGAAATGCGTGCATCCCCGTAGCCGATCTCACAATCAGGTTCTGACGTACCGTCTCTGCAGGAATTCTTATGGTATGATCTTTCCCGCCTCATTCGACGTCCCTAATGCGATTCTTCTCCCGATAAGGTCGGTCTCGATGCCGCTGGTAAGACCACCATCCTGTACAAGCTGAAGCTCGGAGAAATCGTCGCCACCATTCCGACAATCGGTACGTGTCCGACACGTCGTCTTCCCTGGCCCGGGTGCTAAACCATAAATCAGGATTCAACGTCGAGACCGTCGAGTACAAGAACATTTCATTCAACGTGTGGGACGTTGGTAGCCAGGACAATATTCGTCCTCTGTGGAGGCACTGTATGTCCATTTTACACCCCTCTGACCCCGTCTCACTCCGCGCCACAGACTTCCAGAACACGGAGTGCATCATCATTGTCATCGATGCTAATAGGGTGTTTCATAATTAAAAATTTGGGTCCAACTTATGCCTCAACTTATGCCCCAACTTGGCCTCAACTCGAGCCAAGTTGAGGCACAAGTTGAGGCGTTGTTCATGAAACACCTAAACAGAATAGGTTTTGCGTAGCACCTTACATAACAAATGCTGCGCCAGAGCCGAAGTTGGGGCATCAAGTTGAGGCACAAGTTGGGGCACAAGTTGGATGTCAAGTCATGGTCTTATGCACGACTTGACATCCAACTTCAATTTTGTGCCTCAACTCTGGCCTCAACTTCACGAAAGTTGAGGCCCAAGTTGGGGTACGAGTTGGGCCCGATATTTTAATTATGAAACACCCTAATGATTGGCAATGTGTGGCTGAGGCCCGGGAGGAGCTGCACAAGATGCTCAACGAGGAAGACCTCCGCAATGCCCTCCTTCTCGTTTTCGCAAACAAGCAGGACTTCCCGAATGCGATGAACGCTGCGGAGCTCACCGACAACCTTGGCCTCCACGGCCTCAGACAGCGAAATTGGTACATTCAGGTAAGCAAGCACCCTATAAGCGCCCGCGCTAACCCTTGCCCCAAGGCGGCGTGCGCGAGGGGATGTGTCAACGGCGACACTGTCAAACTCAGACTCGCCAGGTGAGTTTTACGAGTTACGACACTGTCGCGACTTGCGACACTCTGATGCACTGATGGCGAGCTAAATTAAGAAACTCAATATCATTTTCTCCTCAATTGCGTGAAGGGGACCAACCATTCAATGCCCCTCCCCTCCCTCGCTCCGCTCGGGGGGTCCCCCGAACCGGGGCATTTCAGGTTGGCACTCTAAAGCCTCGTTCCTGCTAAAAGTATGTCCCTCAACCCTAACTCATAACAAAGTCTAACCTCTAACCCTAATCAAACTCTAGCTCGAACTCTAACCCCCCACTACACTGCTTATACCCACAGTTAGGGCGCGCTGCGCTTGCCCTAACTGCTCGAAATGGTGTTTACATGCTAATTCCAAGCTGATGACGAGGTTTGATCCCCCATCAGTGTGTCGCAACTGGCGACAGTTTCGCAACTGAAGAAGGATCACCCAACGAGTCTGAGTGTGAGTATGTCGCAGTTGGTGGATCACCCGTGCGGGACTTCCGGTGACGGTCTTTACGAGGGCCTAGAGTGGTTGAGCGCCAACATCAAGCGTCGGGTATAATGGCGTCCGAATACTTTATAGTGTTTGTTATACGTGTCACAACGATCCTCATTATAAACGCAGTTCCTGTAGCATAAACTGCTTTCCTCTCCGTGCACACACTTTATCTCGTTTACCTGCGGTTATTCATCGACTCGGTGGCGGATGGTCCGCCTCTGCATATGTTAACGCCGAAAATTGAAGCGCTATGATGCAGACGACGTCAGGCCCAAGTCATAGCGGAGTACGGTTCCCATCTTTTTCCTTCCTCTTCCGCTCCTCTCGTGGGCAGACGTTTCACCCAATTATCTTAAACACGAGATTGCAAGAAATATTATACCGTACGTGCCCCAAAGAATTGGTTACCTCGAAGGTAACCCTCCCCGAGAGCCTACGTGATACATATCGCGTTCCATCCCAAGCCTATTTATTCAGTGCAGACTTAGCCTCTTCACCGACTCGGTGGCGGATGACCCGCCTCTGCTCTATATTCTAATGAAGTAACCCAAGTACCATGCAGACGACGCTTGTTCGACTCAGGCCTGAGTCATGACTTTAGTGAGCTGATGTATTTTTTATTTCTTTTGCACAGTTCTCGCTTAGTAATGGTCTTCCGTGGACATACGCTTCATCAGATGAGTTCCTACCTCGTAGCGCAGCGAGCCCAAAGTTATTCCATGCACGTCCGTCGAGGAGATGGGTCAATGCACGCTGCCCTTGATCCACATTATGACTTACACAAAAATGTGCTCGATCTCTCATGCCCTGCGGATCGAGTCTAACACCGACTCGGTGGCGGACGGCCCGCGTCTGCCTAACATATCTTAATCTCCAAATCGAAGCTATTACAGACCCTCGCCTATTCGACTCAGGCCCGAGTCATTAATGCTTCCTCTGGAGGAGTTTACTCCTCACACTGATACACACATACACTCTCTACCAGTCCAGATTCGCGAATCAAGGGCCAGCATTCACGGGCCAGAACACCAGATGAATTGCACTTTCTTGGATACGCTCCACAGACTGAGACCGATTGATTCATACTTAGCCGCAGATTGAAGGGCAACAACACCGGCTCGGTGGGGGATGGACCCGTCTGCGCTCAATTGACCACAACGGGGATGGCATATCTGCAGAAGACGCCCGTTCGAATCGGGCCCGAGTCATGCTTAGCTGCTGCGTTCAATTTTTTTAGTTAGGGTAACTATAACTATGAATGGCCAGATCATCGATATTGGTTCCTTGTGTTCTTCTGTTGACTATCGAGCTTGGGTTAAATCCATTTCATTTATCCAGGGCGATTTCACCCTCAATATCGACTCGGTGGCGGAAGGTCCGCGTCTGCTATATCTGTGAGCAAAATGTAGTCCATTGTAGAAGATGCCTGTTCGACTCAGTTATGGGGTTTCGCCATGCGTTTTCATTTCTTACTTTTCGTCCCCTTCTTAACGAGCTCAATTGCTGCTCAAAGATGCGAGATTGCATGTCCGCCGAGGAGATGAGTCAATGCACGCTAGATCCCCCCTAGATGGCAAAGTATGCTCAAAATCGCTCTCGATTTAAATCTGATTCATTGAGTGCAAATTGAGTCTAACAGGGACTCGGTGGCGGATGGTTCGCGTCTACGATTTACTCTTCCTTGATCGCCTCCTATATCTACAGAAGTCACCTGTTCGATTCAGGCCCGAGTCATTTCAGAATTCTGTTCTTGGATTTCTATTTCTTGCACTTCCACCATCCGCTTCTCATCTTGCGCTGATTTTTACCCAATCTTACAAGATAGTCTGGTGGCTAATTCGAAGTCGATCTGCCGCGGTCCTCGTACAAAGTATCTGAAGCACTTTCAATCTCATTTATTAAGTTTGCATCCAACAGCGATGCTCCCCATCTGCTGCTTCTAGGATGGCGAAGCATTCTACCTGTCCGATTCAGGCGCTGGTCTGTGACTTCCTCCGTGGCGTCTTTTATCCCTCGATCTCTTTAATGTCGTAATGTATGCGTGAATTCCTCTCCTATAATCCCCCTCCCGCGTTGACAGCCGAGCCTCACCGAACATAAGCTGCTGTTCCACGCGTCAAATAATGCGCTTCTCCACAAGTGTAGAATCTCGGAGCGCATACTTAGCTTCAATCTGGCTTGAGCAGAAGTTGGAACACAGGGCGTGGAGCGACCGAGGTGCAACAAAGCACAGAGTCAAGTGTTGAGGTCCGAGGTGAGTCTACCGACAAAAAAAAAGTGACGCCGCGCAGCAGAAAATTCATTTGTGAGATTCGCGCGCGAAGAATTCGGTTGTTTGATGTCCGAGCGGAGAAGGTAGGTGGGTTTTCAACGAATTGTGGAACAGATCCATTTTTGTTGCCTGCCAGGTCGACATGAAAGCTCGTTCGAAGATCGGAAAACGCCCGCGCGAAGATAGGAAAAGCTCATGTGAGGATAAAGGATGCGATGAAGCAAGTAAGTGCAGGATAAGATAAAGGAGACGCGCAGGCGAACGTTATTAACCACACATCAAATTCAGCACCTTTCGTATGTGTCCGCGTTACGCTTGGGTCGCATAAATCACGCATGCACAGGTGCATGTAGCGCCTCAGACGAAAGTGGCGGGATGTTGGGGTTCAGGAGGGAAATAGCGTGGGTGGTGCGCAGGAGGAGGAGAATCCAGAGCAGCGGTGGTAGCGGCAGCTTTATCAGGGCGGGGCCGTGGAACAGTCTTTCAGCATGTGGTCCTGCGAAGGCATGAGTCAGCTGGAATATAACCAGGAGCAGGGAGAAGGAGTCAAAAATGAGAAGAGAAAAAGACGAAGACGCGGGAGGATAGGCTCGTCGAGGAACGTGCAATTTAAGCAGCTGGAAACAAGGGAATCAGTAGACGGTGATAGTCGGGAGAGACGGGACGGACGAGAAAACAGTGCTGGCAAGCCTTGGGCGAGTGGAGAAGGAACGAAGAAAGGTAAATGGGGAGGAGCGTGTTCTTGGGGGGGCAGAGTGAGAGGCGCAGGACGGGCGAGGCGCGGAGGCGGAGCACCGAGGGCATCGTGGTGGTGATAGTAGTGAAAAGAGAGGGTCACGTCAAGGTCATGACCGAACACCAGAGGGTTCTCGGAGTTCTCCGTGTCGAAGTGTCGAATTGGTTCAAGTTGTCACGTGTCACACCCTCTGCCGAACCAGGTGTCGGCCGCCTATAACCTTGCTTGGTCAGAGCGCCTGATTTCTGTAAAATAAAACAAAGCTCTGGTCAGATATGTCGGTCCGGATGCACATTTAATCCGCGCCCCGAAAAGTCGACCCCCGCCCTATATATAAGAGTGTTTTGATGGCCTCCGCCCTATAAACACCTATCCCCATGGGGCATTTTATTTTGGGCGCGAACGGAACCTCCATCCCGAACCAAGCCGAGCCCGCCCTAAACAAACTCAACCCCGCCCTATATAAACTTGAACCCCCGCCCTAAAAAAATTTCAAACCTCGAACATTATAAAAAATTCGTCCAATATTCTGTGTCACTCAGAAGGAGCCCCAGACCTGTCTAAGCTTAGTATCAGCTTCATGTGGCACCCTGGTCGGTCCAGGTGGTCGGTGTCAAATATTGGCGCCGGGTCACGCATCACGCCCCCGCTGGTCGAACCTAATATTTGTCACGCAGCCCCCCAAAAACACCTAAATTTGTGCCCGCGACGCGAAAATCCCAAATTTTTCGTTTCGTGGTTGAATTTTTTAGGTCTGTCACGCAAAATTTCGGCCGCGATCGAATGGTCGAATTAGTAATCTGAGTCACGCATCACGTCATAGGTTGATTTGATTGAAATACTACAGTATACACATCCGTCATGTAGTCGTGCGCGAAATTTGGTGACAGCTGCCCGTCATATTCAGTCACAGGTCACAGCCCATTTTTTTTTTGCTGTGTGCAAAAATCACAATTCAAAGAAAGTTTATCGGGGATCCCAGACATCAAAAATTCCGAAATTGATGTGAACACTTGGTCGAAATAGTACAGCAGTTCCAAATGTCCCCCGGGCCTGGGAATTATTGACCGAGGGCAGAGACTGCTTTTTGGCGAACCCTAGAATTGCTGCCGCTAGGTGACATGAGCGTAAACTATCACGTCTTGCGCAATGACGCACCATAAGGCCGATACAGGGATCGCCACTCGTATGACAGCCGATGCTGTGGATTCATGGGACGACAAATTTTCCAGCGTCTCGTATGTCCATTTTCGAACCTTCTCATTCGCTGACTGAAGCAATTCCGCAACGTGGTCGAGCGTCTTTGCCCGCACCGCAGATTGAGCACCTTCCCGCAAATATGTCATCTCAGAAAGGGCATATATTGCAGCCTCGATGACGTCGACATCTTGGTTTCTGTGTGTGTTTATATCAGAAATTGGTTCAACAATAGCCAAATAAGACGTTGTCCAAAAATAATGGGGACTCACCGTAACAGGGAGACGAGTTGTACACAACAGTTTGACGTCGAAACAGCTACTGCTGTAGATTGGTGGTGCACCAATCTTCCCACTGTCCAGCATGTCCATTTCCGGATCCCGGTATTCGGTAGTTCAAGCAATTCTGAAAGGTGGTCCAGCATCTTGGCATCCACTGCAGCTTGGGCACCGTTAGGCCATTTGGAGATGCGCGAGAGTGCAAATATTGCACCATCAATAACCGCAAAATCTGTGCCTCTGTTTCTGTATCAGGACCGTGTTCATGAAAATAATTGGAACTCACTGCAAAAGGGAAACAAGTCGCGAACAGAGGTTTGACCATAATTCAACCATGACCGTGGATTCCCGGTCTGCAACTCGCCCCACCGTCCAGCATGTCCATCGCCGGACGTGGGCGTTCGGTGATTCAAGCAATTTTGTGATCTGGTCTAGGACGTTTGCCTCCACAGCAGCTTGTGCGCCATCACACCAACGGGTAATCTCAGAAAGGGCATATATTGCACCCTCGATAACGTCAACGTCTTCGTCCCTGTAATAATATCAGAATCTCATTCTACAATAGTTAATTTGAGACTCACCACAAAAGGGACACGAGCTGCAAACAAGGTGACAGGGACAATACAGCGCCAGCCGTGGATTTGTGGCGTGCGAGCCGGCCCACCGTCCAGCATGTCCATCGCCGGACCTGGGCTTTCGGGGAAACAAGCAATTTTGTGACGTGGTCTAGCATTCTGGTATCCATAGCAGCTTGTGCGCCTTCCAGCCATGCTGTGATCTCAAAAAGGGCATACAATGCACCCTCGAGAATGTGAGCATCTTCTTCACTGTGTATATGTCGGATTTTTTGAACTTCAGGAACACAATTGAAACTTACTGAAGAATGGAAACGAGTCGTGAAGGGATGTTTAACCCTAATGCAACCAAAACCGTCGTTTTCTCGTCTGCCACCCGGCCCACTGTCCAGCACGTCCATCGCCGGACCTGGGGGTTCGGTGATCCAAGCACTGTCGTGATATGGTCTAGGATGTTGGCCTCCACAGCAGCTCGTGCGCCCTCACGCTGACAGGTGATCTCAGAAAGGGCATATATTGCACCCTCGACAACAT